CGCCTCACCACTCTCCGCCCCGACCCGCTATATACGCACAATCACACGCATTTCATGAACAAGCAGAGCTGGCAGAGTTCGCTGAGCGTGCTGAGCGCCCGCCCCGCCCGCCCCGCCTCACCCAACGCTGCGTTCGGCTCGCCTGCAGCCGCGTCTCCTCGTCCAGTCCGCTTTGCACTGACGATCCTCGACGCGTCTCTCTGCGTCACCAGCTTCACGTATCGAGGAGGCGGGGCGCGAAGGAAAGCAGGGAGAGGCCTGTGGTGGGTGCCGCAGTTCCGGTGATAAGGGTATTCAAGGCGATCTTTGTGTCGTGCGCCGGCGGGTTGGCCTTGGAGAGGAAGTTCGCGCATACCGGGAGAAGGGGGGGGGCGAGAGGGAGCGGAAGAGAAAGAGAGATATAAAAGGAGAGGAGGAAAAGATCAGAGAGAGGAAGCGAGAGAGAAGAGCAGCTTTACCCCTCCGTGTTACATGATTAATTTACGGCTTTAGCGAGGGGCCTAGGTGTGACGCCACTCGGGCCACGGCGAGGCGTCACGTCGGCGCGCCTCCACGCCACGCTCCACGCTCGGGTACTACGAGTTGGCCGGCGGCCCCGCCCCGCACCGCGAGGGGCACCCGCTACCCGCTCCACGCCCTGCCCGCCCCACCCTAGACCGTGGGAGAATATCCATCACGTGACGATGAGGGGCGCCGAACACCTTTAGCCACGCCCCACCCCGACAGGCTGAGGCGGCCCGCACCACGTGAGGATGCGCCAGAGGCGTGTGTGTGAGTGTGCGCGGTGGCAACGCGGCGAGGTGTCGGTTATGACCGGTTACAGACCCTCGCCTTACCCCGCGCCTTGCCCCGCCCCGCCCTGGCCCCGCCCGGCCTATTCCCCTGTGACGACACCTCGCGAGCCCTCTGAGGTGAGACCTGACCGGTGTCGTTAGGGTCTCGACCGCCTTGGGAATCGCACGGCACCCGGCGGTGGGGCCCCTTCCGCGCCAAAACGGCGACCCACCAACCGCCGGGTCCGGCCCGGCCGTGGGGTGTTGTGACTCCTTATCAACGTCCTGGTCCGGGCCCGGCCGCGTGTCGAGCCGCGTGTCGGCCGAGCCCTCGGCGGCGGAGCCGACCGGGCTATTCTGGTCGCGCTGGTCTCGCGGGGCGGGCCGCGAAGAGCCGCCTCCGCCGCCGCACCGTACCTGTCACTTCCCTCCCCTCGGCCTGCTTGGCGTCGTCTGGCGTCGGCCCGCTGCTGGCCTGGGGCCTGGCCCCGCGCCGCTGGCATGAGCCGCGTCATGAGCGACGCCCCGAGAGCGTCGCGACGCTGCAGCGGCAGGACACGGTCGGCGGCCGCCCCGACATACTCGCCGACGCCCGCGCGGAGGACGCGTACCGCGCCCGCGCCCGCCCGCGCCATGCCTTGGTCGGCCAGCCGGAGGTCGCCTCGCTCGGGCTCGTCGTCGTGAGAAGGAAGTGCGTCGCCGTCCTTCATCGGACTGACACTGCGTGTGCGTCGACGCAGTGCGCGAGGGGTGCTGTGCTGAATGGACTGGACTATCGTGTGCTCCGCGGTGATGTGTTGGCGGCGGAGGCCCCGATGTGCGTGAGCGTGAGGCGCGGCGCGCGCGCACCCCGGGCCCCCGCGGCCCCAGCAGGCCCGCGCACCGCGCGCGCCGCCGGCCCGTGCCCGCCGCCCTGTCTATGGGTGTGCTGGCGGCAAAGATCTGGGCCGGCCCCCAAGCCTGGAAGCAGGAGCAGGCCCAAGCGGAGGGGGCCGGCGAGCACGAGCTCCTGTGGAGGGTGGTGAGCATGGATCCGGCCTGGCTCAACGTCCGGCCGCGGCCGCACCCTCGCCCGCGCGGCCTCAGCCTCAGCCTGCTCGAGTCCATCAGCCCGGCGTCCAGCGCCTCGGCCTCCGGCGCGGCCACGGCGGCGGCCTCGCCCGTCAGCGCGCCCAACACGCCGCCCTCCAGCCCCACCGCCAAGGAGTACCTCTCCCGGCTACTCAAGTGAGTGTGGATCTCCTCCCCCGTGGTCCAGATCCTCCACCCCCAATAACTGGCGCAACTAACTTAGCAGTCTCCTTGCGATGAGTCTCAACCGCCCCCTCCTCCTCCCTCGCCGTGCTGTCCGTCGGGCAGGGTTTGTCATGCGAGGCACGGCTTTAACGACCGGGGCTGACCGAAGCCTTGACACCCTGCATTTTGTGTTGCTGTCCGAGAGAGAAAGGTCGCTGCCGTGCCAGCCCTTTTCCCCCGGCCACGCCACGCCGTGCCGCCGGTGGGAGGAGACCGAGTGGTTGTTTACGAACGAATAAAACACAAGACGCCCCCCTCCCTCCCCCGCCCCGCGTGAGGGGCGGCCTACTCGCCCGGCGCGGCGGCGCGAGGCAGTGGGAACGACGTCGTCGTCGTCGTCGTGGAGACGGACAGGGGCGCGATCGGGCGGACGATACCCCACGCCGGCCAGCCTGCAGGCCCGGGGGATGGCATCACGATCGCGAATGGACCGCTTTCAGCAGCTGCATCAGTCCGCGACGGACGACGGCGTCGCGGCAATACCCCGCGCCCGCAGGACGCGACCCTACGATACAACGACGACGACAGCGACGGCACGACGAGAGTGGCGAGGCTCGCGTCCCTGCCGGCCCGTCGTGGGGATGCCTCTTGTCAGTCGTGGAGGCCGACGGCGAACAGCACACCGGCCCGTCCGCCCTCCAAACCCTGCCGGCGGCTGTCGCGCATTGACAGGCGTGTGGCGAAAAATAAAATGGCCCTGAACATTGGAAGCCGCCTCGCTTTACGGAAACAGGGGTTGGGGAAATGCGCTCGCTTTCTTGCCGAAAAGAAAAGTGTTGACCGCGCCCGTCCGACCTGGCCGAGCCACCACCGGAGGAGTACTTACTTAGTGTGGGTGCGGACTCGCGGCCAGACAGGCCCAAGGGGCAGGGAGAGGGTGGGCGAGGTGGGGCTGGCAGTAGCGGCGCCGGTGGCTGCCAAATAACCGGCCGATAGGGGCCAGTAGTGACCGCCACCCCAGCCGCTAGCCGCCGCCCCGCCCCCACCGCGATTGCAGATGCGGTGCTTCACTCCTTGCCCCCTCCCCGTGCGCTCGGTAATGGCCCTTGTCGCGTATGTCTGGTCGTCATCGCCTGATGAGCCCTGACGGTCTTACGACCGCCGCCCCGCCCCCCGAGGGACCCTTTGGCGAGCCCTGCGCCTGCTGCTGCTGCTGCTGCTGCTGCTGCTGCTGCTCCTCTTCGATTTCGGGTCGTCAATGTCAGTGAGAAATAATGGCAGCGACCCGTCCGGCACGACTTCCTTGGGCGCGTCTATTTTTAAAAACGCTCTGCGTTCAGCCAATCTCACACGTGTTTATCGTTCTAAATTAAAACTTTCTCGTTTGTTTTAACCACCCAGACTTATAGGAAAGTCATTGGCTCCCGCGCGCCTCTCCGGTGCTCCCACCGTTGTCGAACCATCCCCTTGCCGTATCCCCATCAAGGTGGGGTTCACGCTCAAGGGGCTGCCGCAGGGGTGCACCCGTGTGGGGTGTTGTCCGAGCTGTCTTGCATCCTGACTCTGGTCAAGGTCAGGCGAAAACGCAGCGGGCGGGAAAATGGCGTTATATTGAAGGCGAGCAAGATGATGGGGCGGGGAGACCATTCTCCATTCTGCTCGTTAACACGGCAAAACGCGCGCAGAGGCGTGGACAACGCGCGAGCCCCCGCGCGGCCAGACCCGCCCGGGCCCGCCCCACCAAGGCCGAGGCGGTTGTTGTTGTGTTTTCGCGCGGGATTCAACAGCGGCGGCCGCGGGACAAGACGAGCTGCGGTCCACCGCGATGCCCTGTGCGAGGCCTCTGCCGAGGTCGTCCGCGATGTTCAAGGGTTCACACATGGCGGTGGTTCGGTTGTCTGTCGGCGGGTCAAGCTCGCCTCTGAGGTGGCCGCAACCCGGATACACTTCGCGACGACCAGATGTCCGAGAGGCTGTCGCGGCCGCGGCCCGCCCCGCCCTGCCTCTATACTTTATGTGCCGCGCATCCCGTGGTGGGGCGGGGCGGGGCGGGTCGGGCGTGGCGGGCGTGGCGGGCGTGGCGGGCGTGGCGGGTGGCGTGGCGGCGGTCGGGACGGTTGAAATAGCACCCAGACGGCGGGACCGGCCGGCCGAAGGGACCCGAAGTCGACCGAAGTGGTCATCGGCGAGCACCCCGCAGCAGCCGCGGCCGGCGGGGAGACACGACGTCGCCGAGGTGATGGTCCTCGCCGGGGTGACGCCGTCCACAAGTCATTTAGCCGGGCCGCCACGCTGCGCCACGACCGGAGGGCACGCCCGCGCCCCCTGCCCCGCGCGCCCCCCGCGGGGCCCCCCTCGCCGGGAGGGTCGGGGAGGGCCAGGACGACAGTCCCCCGAGAGCGCGACACCGCGGCGCTTCCTCGTGTGAGCGTGGTCAGTGCGGAGACCGGGTCGAGAGCACGTCGGCGGTCGCGACGTACGCGGTGACCAGCTCGGCGAGCAGCGCGGTGAACAGCGGGGGGAGCGCGCCCCGCCCCATCCCCCCTCGCCCGGAGCATGGCCCGCTGGAGCCACTTCGGCCGCCGCCACGGCCTCCAGGATCAGGACGACGGCTAGCTGGACGGCTGCCCTCATGCCCGGATGGCTGAACAGGTGTGTCTGTGTGCGTCTGTGTGCGAGCGGTGCGTGCGTGCGCGTGTGCGCGAGGGTGTGCGGCTGCCGTGCGGGGTGGAGGTCAGGACGGCCAACGGGACGGACCGCGGAAGCTATCGCGTTTCGTGGGAAGGGTCGCAAAACGTGAAGCCGCCCCGGACTTTTTGAAAGGAGCTTTCAGGTTTAATTGCCCGTCGCGTGTCTCTCGCCGCGGGACGCGAGGGAGCAGGGGGCTGGGGGGGGGGGCGGGCTCTTTCTTTTTAACGACCGGCTGAAAGAACAAAGCGGATCTCCTCCACCTCTCTTCTTTTGCCCGAGTATCGCGACGCGAGTTAACGGCCCGGCGGTCCCGACGCGCAGGGCTCCGCCCCGCCACGCCGCGCCACCGCGGCCAGGGCCTTCTTGCCAACCTGTCCTGTCCAGTGTATTATTGTCACCTCGCCCGGTACCAGCCGGTCCCCCGTGCCCGCGCTGACTTGACCGAGGGGGCCCTGCCGCGCTGAGATTGCCCCGTCGCTGCCTGCCTGCAGCCCGTTGGGATCGCCTCTCTCTCTCTCTCTCTCTCTCTCCATCTCTCTTTCTCTCTCGCTCGCATCTTCCCGATTTCGAGCAGCGCGGTGGCGCTCTTGCCAAACCAATTTGCGGATGGGTTCACTGACCGTCGCCGTCGAGGGAGAAAGAGTGTCGAGAAAAATCTAAA